AAAAGGGTTTTGTTTAACTCGCTCCGCTACACTGAACTTGCTTGTTCGATTTGGTCCCGTCTAGCGGCGTTGATTTATATACGTTGTTTGTACTCACCTAGTGTGCGTGTGTGTTTGTTTATTCTCCCTCTTCTGGCCTTTTATTGTAGAGAAATTGTTTCTCGGTAATTGAGAGCAAGGGAGTGAATAGAGGCAGAATTGCTGCAGCTGCATCACATAGGATTAAATAATATATTCATAATTAGATAAATATACTAAACGCAAAGCAAATTATTTCAAAATACAATGAGATTTATTATTTAACGTGTATGGAGAGGAATATATTAAAACTTATATATAAATTTTCTCATTTCCATTCTGTATATGTTCCTGTCCACCATCACCCTCCCCCTAAACACCATTATTGCCCATCCTATCCCACCATCTTCCCTGCCCACCCTAACACAACATCCTCTTTTTTCACGCCTACACCCACACCTCTGTCCACCCAACCCCTCACCACTGTCCACCCTACACCCACACCACTCTCCACCCTACACCCACACCACTGTCCACCCTACCCCACACCACTGTCCACCCTTCACCCACACCACTGTCCACCCCACCCCCTTACTAACCCACCCTGTCCCTCCCACTACCCCCCTCCCCAACCCCACACCTAACTGCCCATCCCTTATATGCACGACAAAAACTTCATCACTTGCATGCAGATCAGATTTCAAAAAACTCTCCAGATATAGAAAAATGTAAAGCGTTTTAGAATCGCTAGAAATCCTTCATCAGTCCAATAAAAGATATAAACAGGGGGGAAAATATGAGGGCCTTGATTGTAAGCAGTAAATTTGAATGTTACGAGAAAATACAAAGGAGTTATTTTGACAATAAATTATAGGCATTCAGAGGTGGTAGTAGTATTAGTAGTAATAATAGTAATAGTAGTAGTAGTGGTATAGTTGTAGTAGGAGTAGTAATAGTAGTAGTGGGTTACTCAGCGCTCACAGCCATAAAAAAATATACAACACATACATTAAAAATAAGAACGCAATTAACAAACAATAAAAGTAACGAACGTTAACACAAATAAATACCATAATACCTAATTAAAATAATCAGCATTAATTAAAAAAAAAACGTTAAATTATTAATGTCAAAAGAATCACTAAAATTTCCTCAAGGTCCCTACAGGCAACTTTGTAATTATACTAAAAAAATGTATTAAGAGATAATATTCTATGACTCAGTAATGCAGCTGAAAGTAAACCATGAATATAAAATTGCAAACAACAATTGTTCAGAATATATTACTTCAAATTATGTAAAAACTTAGAAACGACAACCAGTAGCCCTCCAGACTCGCAGCAGAGTTCATCAAAAAACTGAATCATTTTTGGTCCACACACGTCGTGAAATTTCATTAACATCATGACTGCACCACTGATGTTAACCACTGATGTTAACCACTGATGTGCACCACTAATGTGCACTACTGATGTGCACCACTGATGTGCACCACTGATGTGCACCACTGATGTGCACCACTGATGTGAACCACTGATGTGCACCACTGATGTGCACCACTGATGTGAACCACTGATGTGCACCACTAATGTGCACCACTGATGTGCACCACTGATGTGCACCACTGATGTGCATCACTGATGTGCATCACTGATGTGCACCATTGATGTGCAAAACTGATGTGCACCACTGATGTGCACCACTGATGTGCACCACTGATGTGCACCACTGATGTGCACCACTAATGTGCACCACTGATGTGCACCACTGATGTGCACCACTAATGTGCACCACTGATGTGAACCACTGATGTGTACCACTGATGTGCACCACTGATGTGCACCACTGATGTGCACCACTAGTTGACATCTCGTATGACATTTCAGAACTGATGTCACCCTATTAGCAACGTACTGAGTCGGGAAACTGGTTTGTGACCAGAATTTTAAGGCACCATTCCCCTTTGAATGAAGACCTGGTAATAATGTCCATTGGGCCCCTGATGTGCACACTGACTCCTATGATGGCTAGCCCTTCCCCGTGATAATGATAATTGATGTGCAATAACTAGTCACACTGATGTGCCTCAGACAATTTTATCCACTGATGTTATCACTATTACCACTGATTACCACTGATTAACCATTATTAACCATGATTACCATACTAATTATTTATGACATTTAAATTTTTCTCATTTAATTAACGTATTATTTTAAATTATTATCATTATATTTTAGCACCATTCTTAAAGAAACATGGTATCATGCCATTGCTCATCCTAACTCCCAAGGGCAATAGTTTCCCCCTTAATGATCAATGGAAAACTACAAATTTGCTCCAACGATAAAACATTAACTAAATTTTAATTATAATTATTATTATTATTAATATTTCTTATAAATTAAACTTAAGTTATTATTATAGAAAATTGTAATTTAAATTTTGACTTAGATCAAAACAAAACGTACGTTATTATCATGATACTACAAACACGCAGCACAAAATCCATATTCTATAGGGAAAACAAAATACCACCTTCATCCTCCTGCACAAAAATTTCTCCAAAGCGACCAAAAGTACACAGTGGACTAAGCAGTTGGTGCTCGCCAAATCATTAGACTATCTTAACGTAAACAATATATGATTACTTTTCGTAGGGAAATGATAATTACATGACGCACACATTAGCTAATTTCAATAGAGTTAGATCAAAACTAATCTCTAATCCAGAATAAAAACGCAGATGGTTGTTTGTGGTGAGGTTTTGTCTGGGTGAAAACATCTCGAAGGCAGTACTGTGGTGTTGTTGTGTGTTAATCATTTGGCTTCTTGTAACCGTATTTTAACTTCTACATATTTAGGGCTGATAAAGAAATGAAATATTCATAAAAAGCATGTGCAGAATGTGTCTGTGTCTACTTTGGATATTTTTTAGAGAAGTTTTCATACCAAAAAGGTAAGATAAAATTACAAACAAAAAATGGAAGAAAACACATATTGTTCCTGTATTTAAAAAAATGTTGACAGCGAAGACTCTATAAGCTATTGACCGGTTTGACTGACAAGTTGTAAAATTATTGGATAAACCGTTAGAGAAAGATGGATTCAGCACTTAGAGAAAAATAACTTGTTAACTGGTAAAGAATTTGGTTATCGGTCTACACGTGAATAAAAATTTTGTTGAGTTACTATGATAGTTACGGAAATTGTTCAGAAAGAAATAGATGGACAGATTATGTTTACCGGGACTTTAAGAAAGTTTTGATAGAGTTCTTGAAAGTCTAATCTGGTAACTGCAAAAATAGGAGGAATTAAAGATAATTTTTTACAGTAGATGCGAGACTTGTTTGAGCGGAAATTGCGAACAGTTATAAGAGGAAAAATGTCTGCATGAGAGGACGTCACAAATGGGGTGCCACAGGATTCCGTACTTGACCCAGTAATGTTTCAAATGTATGTAAATGATTTACCGACGCAGATGATGCAAAACTCTTATGTAAAATTAATAACCTTAACAATAAGATCTGCATACAATGAGCATATGGAATGATAGATGGATGATGGAATTTAACGTAGATAAATACCATGTAATCGAAGTGGGAGAAAGTGAAGTTAGACCGCATGAGAAATATACTGTAGACTGTGTAACAAAATGTTGAAGGTAGCAAATGGAAAAACTAATTTACGAGTTATTACTGACAAAAAGTTGTCACCGGAAGATCATATAAACGAAATTGTGAGAAACACATATACCACACTGGCAAACTGTAAAATAGCTTTTCAAAATATGGATGGTGAAATGTTCATTTGTGTGGTGCCAACATCTGAAAAAAAAAATAGGAGGTGTTGCTGTGTGCTTCTCTAAAAGTGTTCATGCCCAGCACATAGATGTTGCCACCCCTACACATCTCGAAATGATGTTCTTCAAGCTCTGTATAAACACTAGTACCTCTGTACTAGCATGTGCAATATACAGACCTCAGTGGCAACATCAGACCCATCAACTTCCTAATGGAAAATATTGACTCCCTTCTGCTACAACACAACTGTCAACATATCATAATTGTTGGTGACCTCAACCAGCACCTTATACAGAGGGACTTTGATGACCTTCTTGCAGTGTTTGACATGAGAAACTTTGTTTATTTCCCTACTCATATCTCTGGC